GGCCACTTGGGTCCTCAGCTCCTGCGGGAAGTGAGAACCGCCAGTGGTGCAACGAGGCCGCATTTTCGCGGCGGACTCGCTCTTTGACAAGCACATGGGAAAATTCGTGAGTCGCCTGGCTTTGTTTATTTTGGACATGCTATCAGAGAGGCAGGCCCTCTCCGAGCAGACATCCCCAGCGCCGTTTGATGTGTTGTCTGTTCTTTTCCTTTTTGTGGGGGGGCGGGGGGGATTTAGTTCCCTCCCAAATGGGCCGTAGAGCACTCGTCCTTTTGACCGGACCTCACATGGTACCCACCCTGAAAATAAACCGCAAATTGAGATCTAAGTAAGATATAACCCAAAAGAGGGCCCCAAAAAAAGGAAATTCCTGGAAACAATGTTGGGTCCATAGTTGGCAAATAGGTACAGAGGCGAACTGGACAGAAACGCGCTCTGTCTGACAGGATGGAACATAGAGGCTCTGGACAGAAACGCACTGCACCCAACTGGATGGATGATACATAAAGGAGTATCTGGACAAATCCAAACATCTTCCATCCCATGGTCAGCTTACTGGGTTGCAAAACGGGTGGGCGTATCAAACAAGTCCAAACAGTTACCCCGTTGTTTCAGAGAATCTGAACGGATTCCACCGTCATCCGACCACCAAAGCAGGGTGTACATACTCACTTCCTGTGAAGGTTCGCCAAAAAGCCCAACTTTGTGTTTGCCTCTAAAACTGTTTTCCAAAAGCTTGTTCAAGTCCAGGAACCCAGGGAGTGAGTACAATCGTTACTTCACGGTGACAAAAAGGCGCCCCTGCCCATGTTCCACGGAAATGCCCTTCCACCCTCTCGACTCTCAACTCACCCAAACAAACAATATCAACCCTCTGTCTGGTGTCTTTTTGGGGAAAGAATGCTGGCCGGTTCATTTAGCACCCATCTAGGCACGTTGTTTGGCGGGGTCGAGCTGGCGAATGTCAGTCAACCGGGTTGCTGTTGGCCCCTTTGTAAATAGTTGATTTTTTTGTGGGTTTGGCGGACAACCCCTCAATTTCTCAAAAACTTAAAGTCTCAACAGCAATCAACGCTTCTGCTTTTGAAACTCACGTTGGGCCCCTTCTCCAGCCCATCAAACAACATCGGTGTACCCCTGCAAAGCAGGGCTAATGAAAAGCAACTGCCAACGACAATGACAACAAGGCTTCCGCTATGAATCTGCGCATTCGAGGAACGCCCTTTCAGCCCCTTGGTTGAACAAATCATCTGCTTGCCACAACTTACCTGGTCAAATAAAACTTCCGGAGCCCAAACTTGAGCCCCGATAGTGAGCTCGTCATTTGCCAATCCCCAAGTAAAGCAATCGGTGCTTTGACCGCGGTCGCAACCCGTAACCCTCCGTGGTGGCTATTTGGGTGGCATCGTCAAAATAGCCCCCCACCCCAACAAATAGGTTGATTTCGCCTTGACCCAAGCCCCAGTTGGCTCGGTGCATAAAACAAACATCGATGCACACCAGAAAAGCAAGCGATCGCCAGCCTCTCCTCAACATCGTGCCGCACCTCACTGGAAAGCTGCTTCAAGTCCTTCGACAACCAGGGCGAAGACGCAGGCGTTGAACCAAGAGGGCTCCCTATGTTTCCATTTTGGAGGTTGTCGGGAGAAAAAAACCTTGGGACTCAAAGGAGGTTGCAACCAGTCGAAAACATACCAAAAGGAAACTCATCGGCCAAAGGGATGTCATAAACCACTCAAGGGAAGAACAGCAGGCCAGAAACCCCAGGAATTCGAGTCAAAATTCCAAGGAACTGTGGCGTGCTTGCTGTTTTAGCCAACTTATTTAGGCCCTCCTGTGACTGTAGAACAAAAACAAGGGGTTCAAACAAGCAAGCCACGAATGCAGAATAAGCAGATTTTGGGCGAGAGGCTTGCAGCCCTATCCTTCGATCCTTCGGGCACCTTGCAGGTCCCCTTTCACCGCGATTTCGCCGCGATTCGGGTGCTTTCAGGAGTACTCCAATATAATATGGAAAATTTGCCCCTGCGAAAACCACACCAAAAGCTCAGGCCAAGTGTCTACCCTTGTGGGGTTGATCATTGTTTTCCGGGTAGTAACCGGCAACATGGGCCTGATGCAAAGGCGTCTTGAAGATGTGGAAAAAACTGGTTGAACCACATCTGCTTCAAACAGGATTCGCCTTCCGCCCCAAAGAGGGGCGCAGTGGCGGAACTAGGCCATATCAAAGGGGCCATCCCCGGCCACTTGAACGCTCCAAGGTCGCACTTGTTTGTGCTTGACTTTTTCAAGGGGAAGCCCCGCCACAAGGGCCACAAGGGCACTGGACAGGTCTGTTTTGGGTCTTTCTGCGAGATCCATTCACTCCTGGAGTTGTGAGCTCACCTCCCCCTGGAACTTGCCCAGCTCCTCTCTCACTTGCCTCACGCGTGTCTGGACACACGGGAGGCTTGCGAGCCCTCCGCAAAGTGAAGAACATGTTCTCCCCAGCTGCCAGGCACAAGGACACGCCCTGTTGGCAAAAGACTTGTAGGATGCACCCGGTAAGGACCCGATCCCAATCTTAGGATTCGACCACCCCTCTCCCCGAACCTCCCCCTTGTTTTCCTCATGAGGCCATCTTATCTTATGGAAAGAGGAGAGGAGTGGGGGGCTTAGGGGAGGGGGTTGAAGACCTAAAACGAGTTCATGTGTGGCTTGCAAGAGGCTCAGTCTGATAGCCGTTGACTTTGCACCAGGCGAACAAATAGATCACTGATAAAAACACATCAACAACAAAGGAAACCAAACCAAGTATCTGCCCTTGTGCTTTAGTCAACTTTGAGGAGCCAAATGAGCAACCTGTTGATCCGAGCCCCCTAAAAACGCTTCACGTGTTTACATCCAGTTTGCCAGCCAGCCCGCGAGGACCTGAACAAACACATCCAACCTAGACAGGAAGAGATACCAAGCATCATTCAACGATGAAGAAGGCCTGAGAGGGCTGCGTGACAACTTGAACACATCAAGGCAAGAAACCCGAACAGCCCTCACAAAGTCGGTTTCTGTTTCTACCAAGAGTCCTTTTCGACAGAACTTCACTACCCGTTGCACATATCTCCGAAAGAAAATGCAAGTGGTGATTTAAATAAGGTGATGCGTAAAGCTGTCAAAAAGGGAGAGGCACGGACCCTGAAGCGCGCCTAGCGATCTCTTGGACCTCAGACACGACGAGGGCGCTAGCTTGGCTCACCTCAGAGGGCTGTGGCACGTGGATTGATCGGAGCGGGACTTGACGTTCCCAAACACTAGCGGCTGTTTTGGATGCCTGAAAAAAACACGCTGAGTTCCCAAACATACGTGTCAACCCAAAGGCGACAGTTGATAGGCAACCTTCCGAAGCGAGCGAATTCCCGAAAGCCCAAGGGAACCCTCCGCAATGACATCTGCTGCACTGCGCTCGCCCCTCTTTCACTTGAGGGCAGTTTGTACCACGCACCCCGTCCCACACAGTACCCCTCCCACGAACCCCACCCCACTCCTCTAAGGATCTCAATGTCCAATTGGAGATCTTCACAATGATCAATTCACCCCGAACTGAGTTTAGTGCGAACAAATGACAATGAGATCCGCGAAGGCATGAGAAAAACGCTTTTCATCTGTTTGCTCCTTCAGCCCTTTGCAAATATCCCACCAGCATCAGCCCCACCAACCCCACCAAACCCCCACCACCTTCAACTCGCGCAACCTATCCCAACCTTCAACGAGAACCCTCATGTCAGGGCTTGGGGCCCCGCCCCCTCCTTGCGCTCGGGCGCCTGATGTCAGGGAGTGGGAGGAGCGCGTAAATCGCAAAATGAGGCTTTTGACTCAAATGGCCATGCGACAGCCAATCCTTCGGGCTGCTGAACTTGGCCACCATGAGGAACAGGTCAGGTTCGGCCAGTTCGGATTGGTTGCAAGTGGCCCAAAGGACCCCGGAAAATAGAAGGTTAATCTGTTGGGACTTGGACTACACATGGGAACCCAAAAAGGCAAATCTATTTGTTGAGCAATGTTGCACAGATCGATTCGTTTTGGACCAGCCAGGGAAAACCGCCGGAAGAGTCGATCAACCTCCCTTTGTGCCTCCTCCTCATGCAAAACCTTGTTCAGTGCAGCCGCGGAGCGGGCTTTGCCGAGGGCAAGGTGTTTTTCAAAACTTTGAAGAAGATATCATTCTGGGGCACGTGGCCAAATGCACACATACCCTGGAATACCTGTGAACTATCTAATGTTTGGGTGGGCATTCCAAAAAGGGAATGCGTGATGGCTCGGGTTTTTTTCCCCCTTCTCAGGGCATACAATTGAGGCACTTGCCTGGTGTCAGTTGCCGGGTCCTGATCAGATCTGGCAAGGCTCTGAACTACGAAGCTTGCAAGGGTCCTGGTGCACGTTTGTGGGTGGGCTTCCTGAAAATTCCCAAGAAACCTACAAAGGCCCATCCTACCCTGGACATGCATTGCTGACACCCACCTCTATTCATCAAACGGGCAAGACTACCAAGGTATCGGGTTTGTGGGTGGTCCCCAATTGGCTTTGCGGAATGATGGGGATTCAGTCTGAAGTGGTCCCAAGTCGGTGTGGTGTATGAGGGTAGCAACACTCCTGATGGCAAAGACACCAAGGGTTGTCTTTTTCGTGCCAATCCCGGACCCCCCACAAGGGCTTCATCTTCATGTTCAGGGTTTCTGAGCTGGCCACAAGCATGACGAAAACATGAGAGCCCCAAGCTCCAATGGTTCCTGGGAGTGGCGCGATTCCCGCAAGGTCTTGCCAAAAACGGTACAGTGGCAGCTGGCACAAGTGGACAAACAAGAGATTTGTCGATGGCCAGCGCTCTCTATAGCTTCATGAAGTCTGAAAGTTCGCCCCAAGTAGAAAGTTCAAAAGACTCTGAACGAAGAATTCTGACCTCTAGAAACAGAACGAAACTGATGGGCCCAGTGTCTTGCCACCTGCCTCACGCGGAAAGCCTTTTTCTCTCCGGCATATACTCCGGCGCGCTGCCGGGCATTCGGCCTTCAGCCGTTCACTGCGATCCCCTTGCGCGAGGCAGCTGCCGGACATTGCCGCGAAGCTGGAAGGGCCAAAGCCGCAAATCAGCAGTGACAATCAGCGCCTCTCGGACTCAGTCGCTGTAGCTGTAGCTCTCCTCCTCAGATTCCTCCTTGCAGCATTGCCGCAGCACCACCTGCACACGTCCCCTCCCCCCCTCCCCGCGCTGCCCAACACGGAGAACAGGTTGGACAGACACGCACCCCATCTTTGCTGGGCTTGGTTAATCTCAGCCCTGCAAGAATGCTGGAAGTCCTTGTTAGTTCCTGGCCGGAAATGGTGCTTTGGCAGCCACCAAAGCTTGTCTAAATACCTGGGCAATCAATTACGCTTTTCGGAAAATTGGAAATATGACATTTTTTGAAAGGCCCAACTATGATCATTCTCAGACTGACAAATCCACAACCCGCAAAATAGGAAGTCCTATGTTTTCGACTTTTGCTTTGAATTGACCCCCCAGAACGCTGGTTTTGGCCCAGCTAGAGTTTGCACCCTCCGGGGGTTGACTATATATCTGAAGGAACTATACCCACAGGCGGTTTGGTAATTTCTTCGAGGTTAGAAGCAACCCCTTGATTTGACTGGGTCCCTCTTTGGAAAAGAGGGGTACCAACGACCTGTGGTGTAGGCCAGTGCGAGAGTAGATGGCATACACCCCTACAAACTAGCATGAAACCTGAAAAGCCGCTTTTCTTGGAGGGGCCGCTTTGTTGGGTTCCGTGTTAATTGCAGGGTAGTTGTTCCCTTACACAACTGTGGAATTGATCCATCCACTTTAACCCAACTTTAAAGTGTACGTCTTCAAAATGGGGTCCCTAAGCACTGCTTGTAGCCGCCTTCAGGAGCTCAGGGCCCTTGGCCTTCTGCTCCTTCTCCGACACACCCGCCTGAAGCGGGTCCCAGATTTGAGAAAACAATTGTGGGCAATGATCGGTACGTCTATGACCAAATGCATATATATATATATATGCACACTAATATAATATTAATACACATAAACGTCTTACATGTGTATATATACATACATATCTACATATATATATATATATACAAACACGTCATATCAATAGCATTGTTAGAATGGCTTATAATTGCTTGCTTAAGATAAACAGCATGTTCGTAATTTTCATAAATTTGGGTTTGCACTTGCTGGTGGCATCCATGCAGCAAATGCAACTTTGTAGGTCGAACAAAAGACGATTTCCGGCCTTGGCGGCGAACTCTTGCAGACTCAAAGCGAGGCCCGCCAGCGCCCGCTTGTCCTCGCGCACATTGACCCAATCCTCCCTAATCTGAAGGAGGCAGCATACAAGAAATGAACAAACACAAAAAGCAAGAGAAACACAATTTTTGGAATAACTTCACAACTGGAAGCAAGGGATCCCCAAGTAAAGGCTCGCCGTAAAGCAGGCAGAGCAACCCTCTGAATTCCAAGAAGTTCGCTAGAACGCTCCAAATGTGTCGAATCATTCAACTCGGGCACGCCCTGAAACAAGGTAAGCCACTGCAGATTAACATGAAACGCCTTTGACTTCCACGCCAATTTGCATTGGGAAGGTTCCAAACGCTTGGTTTCCCCTACAGCTGAGACCCATCCCACCATGTATCCCGTCCTCCTCTACCAGTTTGGCCAGGGGCTGCACCATGCTTGCGAGGCTAGCCTGCCATCGCCAATTCCGTCGCTGGTCTAAGTTCATGAGACCATTCACAAGTCGCTAAGGATGGACCTCGAAAGAAGGCCCTGGCAAGCCTTCAATGAGGTTTACGTGCATGCCAGACTTCCGTCAAGTATAGGGGAGCAAGCCACGTACCAACCTTTCAACTGTTGAATTTTGGGAAGGTTGCACCTCTGTGTCCAGTCTGGCTCCAGCAGTAAAAGAGGAAGGAATTTGACATCAATAACCAAACCTGAAGCAAGAAAAAGAACATGTTTTCATAAATCATATATAGGCGATCTGTGTATGTGAAAGTGTCCAACATGTAGGCCCCCTTTTTCAGATGGCTTTCAAAGTGAGACAAGGTAAGACCTTATGCTGTGTCTTAAGTCTGTCCTCCTATCTCCCTCTGACCCCTTCACGGGCGTGGAGCTGATTCGGGCATTGTTAAGTAAATTCTGGCGAACTTGACTTCGCTTTGGCAGAAAGGCAGGGGGCGATCAAACCAATCAAGTTGACGCAAATAAGCAGGTTCAACCCCAACAAATAGCACCACAAACTAACCTTACATCTCAGCATTGCACAAAGTATTGAACTGTTGGTTTTGGGCTCAGCAACTGTGCAACCCCTCCCTTCCAACCAGGGTCTATCGTTGACCTGTGCGCACGTTAGTATAGCGACCCCTTGCGGGGGCAAATGAATCGGTTCCACGGCCAAACCTTTATTGGCCCTTACTAGCACGACCCTCCCTACCAATGAAAAGTTGTCAAGTGCGCCAACCCGGCTTGTCCTTTCCAACTCGCGAGCCCGACTGAGCCAGCAAACGCATACCTTGCTCCGTGCCTCTACTTTGGTATTCCCCTGACGTGGACGGCTTGGCTTTGTGGCTCAAACAGAGCCCCCTTCCACCCCATGGCTTCCTTCTTGCCTCTGGCATGCGGCCATGCTCCTGCAGGAACTCGGACACCTCTTTCCGCTTCTCTGCCAGCTGGCTTTGCAGCTCCTGGGAGCCCTTTGAGGCCATAGGAACTTGCCCCCCATTTTGTCTCACAGCCTTGAAATTGGCTTGCCCTTTGGTTTCCCTTTGAAGCAAAGGGCACAAGCAAAAGCCAAACCCGGATGTTTCTAGCTGTAACTCACCCATATTCTTTACAGGTAACCTTGTTGCAAAGCAACCAGGAAGGTTCTTGGCGAAAGAACGGTTGACACATGTGCGGGCTCTGTTTTGCGACACGTGGATACCTTCTTTGGGAAAGTGGGTTCTTAGTGTGCGGCTGGCTCGGCTGTGAGAGGGAGGGGGGTTTGGGACCGGGGCCTCAAAAAGCAGTCAGCCTGACGCTCGGCAGACATGCCGCATTCCGCCTCTCCAATCAGCTTCTTCGCTTACCAGCTGAGTTGACCGGCCAGAACAAGCTTATTATTTGTTTGGTGCAAGTGTGGCTCCTCCGAGCAAGACACTCAGCTAGGTCTGGAGAAAGGACGCATAAGGACGCCCATCCTCGTTTCGTTTGCTTTGGGCTCAAGTATAAACCATAAGCTGCCCGCCGGTGGATGGAAGATCCACCACCACTAAATTGGAACTTCCAAACAGAGTGATGTTTCGTTGGGGCAGGGTCTAGCATGGACGACCCAACAAACGGCATCTAAAGCAATTATTGCCCAAGACAGGAATCCTTACAGGACAATTATATCGAAAAAAAAACAACCCGCTTCACTGCGAAATCCTCCAAATAGCCGGTAAACTGTTAAACTTGGTTTTGTAACTGTCCGAAGTGTATCCTTTCCTGCCACGGGTCAAACCTTTTGGAACCTTCTCGTCGGTGTTGCATCCTCGGGCCCCTGGTTTTGCAATTTCCTTACCCAATAAGGAACACCAGAAATGTATCAAAAGGCCCCCCCGGTTATGCAATATGTATATATAATATTTTTGGACCGTGACCCCTCACCATGTATGTATCAGAGGCTGGGGATCGAAGTCGAGAAATCCGATCGGTTGGCGGCCCCTTGGAATCACGCCTGGCCGTGCTTCTGGAGCTTGCCCAGCTTCTCTGCCTCCGCTTTGAGCCAGGCGTTGAGGTCCTATCGGGGTTGGGCGGTTGGGATCTGTCGGGTCTAGCCGCCTTTGCTTGCCTTTGCCCCATGAAGGCCAGTAGACATACGGAGTAGCTAAGACAAACGTTCAACTCTCTATAGTAATTTTGTAGTCTTGTTCTGCAGCGGCGGCTGACTTGGCAATGCAGTTGTTGCTGGTCAATTCTAGCGGGAGAGCAAAACTCTAGTTGTTCAGTGGCATCCCTGGTCCATGTTGTTTGGCGAATGCTCCATTGTGCAAACCGTTGGTTGGGGGGTCTTCCTTGTCTTGAGATGTGCTTGAAATCCAGGCCCAAGCCCCCTTCTAAAGTGGAACCAAAAGGAGCCGCAAATGTACATATTTCAGACTTGCTTGACCTTCTTACTCCCAGTTGCAACCGATGACCTGGCAAAACAGCGGGCCCCTGCCTGCACGTCTCCACACATCCCCCCCCCTCCGCAACTTAACTTGATCATGGCATTGTCTTTGCCACACTGTCATAATTATCCATTTGATTCATTGCTTGCTTTAAGGTCTCCCTCGTATGCTCCAGGCGTGAGACACGCGCTGACCCGAAAGGTAGCTTGCTTCTGGGCTCGATTCCTTTCCAGCGAAGGGAGTGCTTGAGGAAATGTCGGAATGACTCCAAACTGAACCACGCCGGCATGGGATGTTTGATGATCATTGCCAAATGCTAGAGTCATTCCCTTCTGAGTAAAAGAAAATCCCTTGACACTCCCTAGTCCGAACGAGGCTGCTGATGCTGGGGGTTTGGCCTGAGAGTGCATCAAGGGCTCCAAGCCAACGTCTTTAGAGGACATGAGGGAGGCCTTGTGCTGAGCCGGGCCAGTAAAAAGCCGGGGCTAGTAAAAAAACAACAACTCAACCTTTAAACTGGAAACCAACGGGAAATGTTTTCGCCGGGAAGCGATCCTCTTGCTGGTATTGGCTTTGATTTTGTGGTAGTTCAGAGTTGCTCGGGGCTGGTTTGGGGTGAGTGTTGGGCGTGTAGAGGTCTTGATGAGGGCGAGTCTTGGGTTTGTTTGGGGTTCATTTGGGCTCTCAAAGGGCTGGTATTCAGGATGCTGTTGGGAGAGCTTAAGGCTGACTTTGATTCGGCTTGGGTTGGCTTGGGGCCGATTTGCGCTACGTGCGCGGCTCGTTTTTGCAGTAATTAACCAGCCAACCAACCAACCAAACCGACCGACCGACCAACCGACCAAGCGACCGACCGACCAACCAACCAACCGACCAAGCGACCGACCGACCGACCAACCAGCGCCCGTCGCCAGGGTTAAGCCCCGAGCCGGGGCTATATAGAAAAAAAGGAGAAAACAAAAAACACCGTCTCCCCCTAACAGGGTCCTCCGAAAACAACCCACAACGCGACACCACCTCCGTTTTTTGGGCTTCCGCTCCTCCTGGAACTTCCCCACGTGCTGCTCCAGAGCCGCCGTGTCCAGCGGGCCGCGGGTGGACGGCTCCGAGCCCCGGCTCGGGCTGCGGGACCGCGAGGGCGAGCCCTGCGGCGCCTGGCCAACGGCAGGGGCACACCACAAAAAACGGCGAAGCCTGACCCCAAACGACCAAACACTGGCAAAGCTTTCGTTCTTGTTTCTCTCTTTTGGTTTTCTTTTGTGTTTTCTTTTTCTTTTGGGGGGGTCCTTCTGTTTTGGAGGGAGTCCGGATCTGGCCCTATTAACCCACTAAGTTTTATTTATCATTTTGGGGGTCAACATCTGGCATGAGGATTGGGGATGGGCTTTGAACCACCCAGGAAACCAGTCGCGTCACGCCTCCGCCTTGGCATCCGCCTTGGTTCGCTTCAGGGTGATGACGATCGGCCTGGGATTCTGACATGCGACCTGTCGCAAACAAATCTGTCTCAGATGATGAGTGCATGTTTGCCACTCTTGCTCTCAAAAACCAGTCCGGGAATCCAGGGAGTGAGCCCACAATCATTCAAGCTGAAACGAGGGGTATAAGTGGAGGCCTACATGCTCGGCATAGTTTTACCCCCAGCTTGCCATAAAATGGGCAGCCACCTGGCGGGTGAAAGTTGTGTTGCCGGTTTTGGTGGCCGGGGCTGACATAAGAGTCACATGCAAACGTGTTCAACGTACCTAGGAAATGTCACGCGTGCCTTTGAACATACCCCCCGTATAGATGGCATGAAAGGGCTTTATGCTGCCGTCTTGTTGCGCTCACTACTTATTGCAATTGGCCGCTGAAGGCGCATTTCAAGAGCGGCATTCAACTTCCAACACAGCTGTTGTCCCAACAGAAGGGTTGGTGAAAGAGTGGGTGAAAAGAATTTGGTTGGGCCGTTGCCACATGTTTTGGAAACCTACCATTTGCTCCTTTCCTCGCTAGGGTATGGCCATCCCTTGACGGAAAAGGGGCAGTTCCCACTTGCCCAAGTGCCTTCATGGCTTTTTTTTTTATCTGATATCTACCTAGCACCTGGCTACAGTTGGGTACAGTTGGGTACAATATCCCCCCCCCCTCTGATGCTTGTTGAGTCTTTCCCTTAGTCTTCCCTCCTTCTAAATTGCATAAGGGGAAATGTGCCATCTGCGGTCACCCTCCTGTAGCCTGTCAAAGGGCCTTAAATCCTTAACGCATGAATTTGAGTCCGTCCCGAATCGCCTTTGCAGCTCTAAAGGATTCTCCTTGCACAGGTGGATTGTAGTGGATTTGGGATGCATCCTAAGAACCCTTTACAGCTGATTTAGGATTCCCTTGTTACCTGCAACGTACCCTCCCAAAACATAACATAGAACCTGCACAACCGGTTCCTGGAAGGGGAAGTTATGGAACCCCTATGCAGGTTACACGTAGGGCATCCATGACCAAAGAGTCACGGCAAGAGCCTCTCAACGCCGCAAATTCTGCTCGAGCGGCTTCGCCATGGCTCGGCCGGGCGTCACGCCACGCCGTCCCGTGCTCCAGCCGAGCGGCGGCGGTGTGTCGTTTTCAGCGATGCGCCACAAACTTTAAACCGGTAAAAGGGGGGACAACCAAGTGAACCCAAAACAAATGCTTGAAGGGGCCAAGCAAGCAGGAAGGCATGAAAGGACGTTTGGATAGTTTTGCAAATACTTTACCAAACCCGCCCAAGCCCAAGAAGCGCTGGTTGTGCAAGATGTCTGCTTATGGACAGCATGCCATCTCATGCCTTAACAGCCTGGCTTCAATGCAACATGGGTTCCATTCCAGTCCCGATTGGACTGGGGATCAGTGTTGGGCCAGCCCGCGGGTCAAATACCTTGAAACTGCCAAGGGGCCCAATTCCCCCGTTTCTCAGCAACTGTCCCACGCCTTCGCGTCCTGGAGGTCCGGCTCGTCCTCAGCGACGTCGTCAATGCCCAAGGCCTGGCACCCCCGTTGCACAATGATCTGGGAGAAAAAGCGGAGGTCTGAGGACTCGAGGGCACGGCCATGTTGTCGAGTGTGGTTTTAGGCAAGCCGAGGGTTTGCAGCCTGACTCGCAAGTCGTAGCGGCTCTCTTCAAGTCCTGATTGGTCAGTGTGAGCGCCGCCAAAATGAAGACCTCCGAATTCTGAAAGAACCCATGTGGCTACGCCGGGGATGGCCCGCTGAAACGATGCCCTTACGCACACCCGCACGCACAAACGCAAGACAGCAAGACAGCAAGACAGCAAGACAGCAAGACAGCAAGACAGCAAGACAGCAAGACAGCAAGACAGCAAGACAGCAAGACAGCAAGGGCAAGAGCAAGAGCAAGAGCAAACAAGCAAGCAAAATTGCATATTGCACCGCCCGTCCGCTTTTGAGCTGCCATACCTTTTCTGCAAAGGCCCGACAACCACATGGCCTCTGGGCCGCATGGCCGCTTGGCTCATCCCGGTGGGATGCCGGAAAGGCGGGACAGCGGGAGCGGCTGAAGCCGTGGCTTAATAAATTTAAGAACAAGATCTGGGCCTTGCCAGTTGAACGCGTGCCGTAACCCAAAAAGCCCTGCCAGGGCCTGTGAGGTTTGCTCATCAAATTTGAAACATGAATTCAAGAGAACAAAGTAGGTATTTAAATTTAGCCCCTCATATAAGTTGACTCAAGCCCAGCAAATGTCGACCCTACATTCAGCAATTCACGAATAACTCGAACCAACCCCCCCCCAAAAGGGACTTTCATCACATCTTCATCACATCGCTGGTCGTTGCAATTTGCCCAGAAAGATGCGCCAAAATCGTCTTACACTTGCTAAAGGTTCAAGGCCCAAGCAGGTTTCCGATGGCACACATCTACAAACTGCCGCTGGCACAGGTTGCCAGAAATTTGGGCCCTCCAAAAGGAAACAAGGCAACCCTGGTCGTCCACTCGCAAGCCTGGCACACCTTCAACGAACCTGGTTTGTGTTGCCAACCCAGCGAGGGCTTTGGGCGTTGGGCACTGTTAGCCCCTTTTGGCAGGGCGCTGTATACCCAGCCCCACCCCCAACTGAACAAAATCGTGGGGGGCAACCCTCCACGCATGTCCACTCACAACGGGCACACACTTTCCCTTTTGGGGGTACGCCTCCTCCGATGGATTTGGAGGTCGGGGTGTAAATCCGTCAAGCCCACGCGGCCCGATTCAGCGTCAGATGCGACCGCATCACTTGCGCGCCAATCCTGGCAGGTTTGGCCGAGGCCGGCAGGGCCAATCCAGAGAACCCTTCAGGACAGAGCTCGCCCTTTGCTCGTGCCATCTCGTGCCGGTTGATGCAGATCTTTGTTGGACCTGGATAAATTTGTAGGGATTTGCTTCAAAGCTGGGGCTTTTGGCTCTGCGGGTCAAACTTACGCGAACCCTTCTTCACATGGAGCTAGCTTCATTCGTCGGCTTCGCCCCCAAATGGCCGGCCAGCCAAACTGGATGGTTCTACCATCCGAGCGGTTCCCGAAAAGTATGTGATGGACCCGACGAAAGAAACACAATGCTCGCCTTGTTTTGTTGACAACAAAACAAACCTGTGCACTGTGCACTTTCACACAAGATACGGCTTACTAAGCTTGTGGAGGAGGGGGAAGCGCGGACCCCAAACAACCGAACCAACCTCTTTGATATAGAGTGAACAAGGAGGGTTCCGGAATAGCACTAAATAAACAAAGGAGCTTCGGGGTATTACTTAACATAACCATCCAAACATCCGAAAAAGGGTGTTCAACCTGAAACGCCTCTACACAACGCTTAAACTAAACCCCTTCAACCCAAACACAAAAAAACATCACAAAACACCAAAAAAAGAAAACCAAACCAAAAGCCACGCACCAAAAGCCACGCACGGAAAGCCACGCCAAAATCTCAAGAAGCCACGGGCGAGGCGCCTTGAAAGATGTGCTCCTTGAACTCTGGCGCCACCGCCTTGGCATCGACGTAGGTCGCCAGCAGGGCCTCCACGATGGCCTTCCCCGCGATCTCCGCGGCCTCGGTCGGTCGCGAGCCACGAAGCGCAACAGCTGTGGCTCGGGCGAGTCGCGAGAGGCGTCTCCAGTCTGGCCTAACCAAACATGAGATGCTGGTTTAATACTGGTTTATTGAGGTTCCATTTCCCTTTTTTGTGAGCCTAAATGATCGAGACATCATTTCAAAAGAAGTCCAACTTTATCCCCCGGAAGGCAACCCAGCGCTTCCAGTCGCCACTATGGTAACGGAGTTCTTACCTCGCGGTTGTGCACCATCACGTGGTTGCGAACAATAATCCAATGGGAACTGGAAGTGCTGGGTTTATGAGCCCCATAAGAACCGAAATCCCACAGCGAGATCAGCTTGTTTTTGGTCAGTGTTTGGCCAAGTTCCGCTAGAAGATCATGTGTGGCTGGTGCCAAACCATCTCGAGTCGTTGGGTGGCAACGCATCCAAGAGCGTCGTCTTTAGGATTGCTTTTGTTGCTGTGGGGAAGGACCACTTTTTGGGCTCAACTCGTCAGAGTTCCCAGAGCGAATGTGACTTGATTCAGGCCCCCAAAACAATGGTTGTTTGACTGTTGGCTTCCCTTGTCAAACAGCCTCCAAACAATTGGTTGTTCTTCTGACAGTTTCGTTTTTGAAGCGGCCCCCCAATCTTGGTTGGTGTCCTATTGCTTTCCCTGGATTCCTGCGAACAAAACTCCACAACCCTCAAAAACCCAAGCACCCCATACGCCGAGAAGCATAGCGCTTCCCCATCTGCAGCCGGAGGCCGGACTGGGCATCGAGTGGCGAAAGGTCCCAAAAGTTGGCCGGGGGCCTCCAGCCCCAGGATCTTAGAACCCTCTTAGAAGACTCGGTCGCTCAAAGGACTCAAAAATGAAGGTTAACCGTTTGGGCCCACAGCAATGGACCAAAAACGGGAAAATGCAAAGGTCAAAAGGTCGGCTTTGGGCAAGTGAAGAGATTTGATTGGAGGGATCTTGGAACTCTGCTGGCCAAAACAATTGTGCGAAAGGTGGCTTGCGTTCTGGGTGTCAAATTTGTGGCCAAGAAGCAAAGAGCAATCATCCATACAGAAAAACAAACACAGGAACTAGATGCTAAATAGGGAGTCGGGCGGGAAAATGTGAAACTTACCCATCCCCTTTCAGCTTCTTCCTTGAGAAAAATGAACAATTACGGTTTCTATCTAGCACCCAGCCTCAACAACGGGGTATGCTCACAAAGGCACGTCCCGCAAAGCGGGACAAAACATGTGTTTTTAGCTTTGGGGCCCCTGCTGAGAGCCCACCAGTGGACGACAACAAACACCACAGCTTCAGGTTCAGGGATCGTTTGAGTTTGAGTTTTGGCACACCGCCTTGTCTCAAGGGGTCCTCAAAATTTGGGTGGGGGCCTTCCCCTTTCAACCAGCCCCCCAACTGAGAGGAATTTCAAGAAAGGGGACACCCGGCTCAGAGAACCAATGGCCTGCTTGAGCGTGAAGACCAGCTCCGTGCCGCGTTTCAACGGGGGGCCCTTGGCCAAGGCCTCCTCGAACTCCTGCAGCACCTGGGGGAAGCTTGAATCAAGTCACGCTCGTGTTCCAAGGGTTCCCGCTTCAAGGGTCAAAACGGAAGGCCAACCAAGCAGACCCTTGAAGACTTTTTGGGGGAACTCCTAGTTTGAGAAAGACATGCTTCCTTTTGGCGCCAGTTTGAACGGACACCAAAGTTGATGCCCGCCTTTAGGGTCACCCTATTTTTCTCTCATTTAGGGGCGATCTCGAAATAGAAATCCGTCCCCTATGGCTGGCTTGGTTTCCCTTTGAATTCCAATTCCGAAACGCCACTGTTGGCTGCCCTGCAGACTTGAACCCAGAAGTGTCCCTTGTTCCAGAAAATCAACCAGTTTCAGTCTACCTTTGGTCAAAAAGTAGAATGCGATTACTACCCCAGGTTTGGCCCCCAAATAAAAATGAGATGTTTGACTCCGGCCCGTATTTAGCGAGCTTGAGGCAAGAGAAATCATGTCGAAAGATTTGTCCCAGTTTATGGATGATGCTGTAGCAGGTCACCAGGGGATTACCCCCTCGCTTGCACATGGCGTGCCGTGGTTACCATGACTAGATGCACTGGGGAAGAATTCTTCGGGGATCCCAGGCGGCCTCAGGAACAAAAATGAAGCCGGCTTCAACCATCTATTGAGACACAAAGTCCGGACCCTTGCTTTTGTTGGCCAATGCACTTGGCAGGTGAGGACCTGAGCCAGCGGCTTGTTCAAAACCAGTTGACAGGATCTAAAAGCAAACCCACTCCATAACCTCCCTGCAGTGGCCTTAAGGCGGATCTGGGGAGCCCCGGTAAAAGGCTGGCAGAGAGAAACCTGGAGCTTCTGGCGGGGGGGGAAGGGGGCTTTAAAGTCAAGAACAACCTTAGAGGGCCCCTCTCAGTTGCATATGCCCGCGAAGTCAACAAGGCCTTCATTTGTGGACGGCGGAAAGGGTAACTATGAAGCTCATGAACTTAGGGAGTGAGTGTCGCCATACAGGGAGCACCTCCTCAGCTTCTGCCAGCTGCACCAGGTTCAGCAGCCGGGGCCGTAAGGACTCCCGCAACCCCTGCGACAGCTTCTGCTTGGTCCTCGCGCGAACCCCTCCGCCCCTCGATGCCATGCGCTGGGGCTTTCCACGGGTCAAGAGTTTCAGCTGGCACCGAATCAAAGTTTGCTTTGCCGCTTTTACTTTCAATTTGTGGACGGAAGTGCGACAGAAGCTTCAACTCAACTTGCCTTTGAGTCCCTCCTCACAAAAGGGCAGTTCAAACAGGACGTGGGGAAGGTGCTGGTGGAGGATCCCTGGACCCGCCAGAAAAACCCACCTTCCCAACATTTCCCAACTTTCGCACTGAGCCCAGCACACGAGCGAGGATGTGATGACCTCAGTCTCGCGGCACCCATGAAAAGCGCCAAACCCCAATGGCCCAATGAACAATTCCAGAAGCACTGCCAGTCAAACGGTGCAGCAAACACTGGTCTACTTACAGGACCACCTGACTGAGCCAAAATACTTGAAAAGAGTGCACCGTTGTCATAACACTACAAAGAACATGCCACATTCTTTCTGGCCGCAGCGCCGCATCGCCCACCCTTAAACCTTTCCTCGGTGCCAGTCGGCGGGAACAGACAAGGCCCCTCAAGCCAGACAGCGCACACGTAACCTTGGAAACCCTCCTGGCACGGGTTTGCAGCGGGCAACCTTGCAACCCCTCCTGACGCGGGTTTTCGGCGGGTTCCCCGTGTTTTCGTGGGCTTCCTGCAACTCAAAGCACACACACACAGAATTGCCTTCTGTCCGGCTCCTCAAAGCTAATTGCCACCCCACGGCTTCCAAGATATACCCCCGAATCAGGATGCTTGACTCGGAGATCCTTTGTTGGATCTAACCTTCAAGGATGCCCTGGCCCCTGCTGACATGGCGGCAAACCATTGTAAGTTCCCACATCCACTCGGTCACAACACTTTTTGCGCAGAGCCATGACAAGGACAGTTCTGGCCCTTTCTGGCCCTTAGTGGTTCCCAGTGGCCCCTAGTCACTATGAGGCTGCAATGTCTGAATCAGTATTTGGTCAAGAACAGCTTTCAAAACAACTGGTAACCGTACTCAACATCGCCGAGGTTTCAAGGTGGTGGAAATGTCCCCGTTCAGGACATGCTAAATCAAACGGTATGCCTCATGTTCAGAATGGGCCCCGCGCAAATCAACAAGGAACCAACCAAGAATAAGGTGATGTTTCCCTCCCGAAGGATCGACATGGGTGTGAAAGAGGGTTGCCCATCCCCTTTTGCCTCCTTGGGACGTGACATATATGTTTCTACTTTGCACCTCGCATCAAAACCATCCGAAAAGGTGTTCTTGTTTGGTTTCCCTTGGCTTCGGTTTCTTTTGGAATTGGCCAAATCCCAGAGGAAGCCAAGAATAGCACGTTATGCAGTCTGCCAGAAAAACCACATTTCTTCTTAGGACACGCACCAAGAAGGGTGCTCCCTTAAATTCACACAGATGTTTGAAACTCAAAGGAGAGGGAAACACAGTTTTGTCAACAACGGGGGAACCCGGGACCTTAAAAGGAACGAACCCCTCCGTGACTGCGACCTCTCCCTTATAACCTTGTGGGTAGCGCGAGCAACGCGCTCTTTTCAGCACTTGAGCCAAATGACATGCGGACATGTCATCTGGGTCCTTGTCATGTTTGTACATCATGCAACTTGTTGTACCTCTGGGCCATAAATGTCATCGTGATAATTGACTCCCCCCTCATTGACGGCACTGAGGGAGTGTCTTGGGCGCATTACCACGCCAACTTGAAGTCAAGTTTACATCACAACGACTGACGCAAGTTATTCAAGCATCGCCCAGTCACTTGCACACTTTTGGAAATTTTGCAGACATGCTGCAGCGCACTAGGCAGCTGCTTTAGCGGACCTACTTTCACGAACGTCTTCAAGCTTCTCTGGAAGGTCAACACGAATGCCGAGCAACCGGATGGCATGGTCCCACTTGTTGGGTGGAAGTGCTTTCGTGAAGATGTCTGCTGACTGCATGTCGGTTTGGACGTATTCTATCGAGATGTGTTCGCTTTCAAGCTGCTCTGCGATGCACGCGAGGTTCACCTTGTGGGTGCGCTGGACACAGCGTAGCTTGGATGAGAAACCCTTCTTTGCTACGAGGATAGTCGCCTGGTTGTCCTCGTGGATCTTGAGATGGAATGGTCTATCCAAGATCAGCTCCCATAAGCTGAGCGCAGGAAGCGCCTCCTGGTAAAGGGAGTACGCGAGAGATACGATCTCCGCCTCGGTTGTCGATCGGGAGACCGAGGTCTGCCTTTTAGACACCCACGCAAGGGGGAAATGCGTATGCGGACCACTCAAAGTCAAGAATCCTCCGGACGTTGATTTTGCGTCTCGTTCTCCAGCGAAATCGGCGTCCACATAGAGAGACAGATGCAACTCATCAGTCGAATCCTGAACTGTGCCAACTAGCGTGCTGTTGACCGTGCTGTTTATGTAGCAGACAAGCCTATGTAGCTGCTTATCGCAGTTCCTAGACCATTTCTGAACAAATGAGGCAAGGTCGCCAATGGGCTTGACCAGGTCTGGGCGTGCCAAACGGCCGAGCCATAAGGCTTTCATTAACACGCGGCAAGCGGCGAAGCCGAGCTCACCCTCCAAGGCGTCATCTGCAGGATCAAGGGATCCAGCGGGACAGAATGGAGTGGTGGCATCACGCAACTTTTCAGTTTTTAGCTGTGCAACCTCAAGATATAATGCAACCGTTTGACGGGCATAATCCCGCATGTCGAACGCCATGCCCCCTTTCAATCTGCCCATTGCGGCATTAAGATCGGGTTCAGTTGGGTCCTTTGGAGCATCTATCAAAAGGTGATTCCTGCCTAGCACCCGATATATGTCTTCTGGGGGTTCTATATCAACCAGTCTTGTTAACTTTTCCCAGAAGTCTTTATGAAGGTGGCTGGGGCCGGCCAACGTCAAGTCGTCGACGTATGTCGAGAGAAGTAACCCGGACTCCTTGAACCAGAAGTTTCCAGGAAACTCTGCGACCTCACGCCCTCCAAGTTCACTAATGAAACCTTTGAGGTGTGCCTCCCAGAGTCCGCCAGCGTCAGGATGCCCATAAAGAGCTTTAACGAGCAAAACCACAGGTTTCACGAAACGCTCGCGCCACCACCTTGGCCGGAGCTCAGGCGGGAGTGTGATCCAAGTTTGGTACTTGGATTTCAGCAGTGCTTGCACATAAGCCTTTATAGCGTCCGCTGTTGTGGTGGAGTTCCCTGGCAGGGATCCATAAGCGAGACAGTTATTAAGACCTTGTACGCTCGTGGGATTTGCTCCCAGTTCTTGGTAGACAGCTGCTGCGCCATGTTCGTCTTTCGCACAGTCTCCGCGATACACAATCCTACCTTTCATCTTCTGAAGGTGTTTCGCGAGTTCGGCGAACTTGACGGATGCTAGCGACATCAACTGCCCGAAATGGACTTTTATACTGGATCGTCGCGCCTCAGCAGCGACTTGATCATACTCTCGGACTGAATTTAGATCCCAAACACCGGCTTTCTCCAGGCCTGTGGCTTCAAGTCGAACGGCTTCAAGGGCTTCCGGGGAAGCCAACATTTCGGCACGTGACAAGAGTCTGGTCACCATTGCGGTGATTTCAGGATCCTTCTCTTCCTTGACTTGTCCTAGGGAATGTGCGATGAGATTTTCAACATCAAGAACTTGTTCAAGGATGTCGTGACACTTTTCATCGGACTCAACAGCAACACCTATGTCTTCCAAACCGGAGAGAGGGGATATGTGTTTTAGCTGCTGCTCACGTTCCCGGTGATCGAGAGGCAATGGCACTTGGACAGGCATTGCAGGCACAACGGGCTGAACTGTCGGATACAGCGCACGGGCAACTGTGAGACACATGCCTTCGGGGTAGAAAGCGGTCTTTGCGGTCTTGTTACCTGCTGCAAGCGAATGTTTATACCCTTTTTCGTGCGGACACTTGAATGCACCTAGCGCGGATGCGAGTGTGCTATTGCTGGTCATGACTTTCCATGGCTTCTTGATGGGATAACCATTGCTGTCCTTCAGACCTAGGGCGCAACCGTGGAAGGTCGCTGGGGTGAAGACTTGTGCGTATTCCCTAAAGAATGCAGAAACATCATCCCTAGCCCAGCTGTCGCAATCCCTTGGCCACTCAAACGAAACACTACCCCCCTGATGGAGGACAGTCTCTGCGTGACGTCTGAATCTGGAGAACAACTCTCTCGACTCTCTAACCTTTTGCTTCAGTTTCTTTTTTGAACTGGCTTCCTAACTTGGCCTTATTAACGCGTTGCCATGCTGAACCTGATGTGCAGGGGATTGCAGCCCAAAGATTGGGTTTATCACAACCTTCTATCTGCGACTGCAACTGGATTTCTCCTTCATCTGTGCTAAGGTCGATAAACTCTTTAGCCAGCCTAACATGAGGTATGCCAAGACCTTCAAACACGCGACCCATATTGGACTCTGGTGAACATGCGTATTCGAACATCACAGGCAACTTGTCAATGCGTGCCTGTCGCTTGCGGGCACAATGATTTCCTACCTCAAACTGCTTGGGCTGCGGAGCTTCAACCTCTGCGCTGCACGGCATGTCAAAAATTGGCAATGTATCTGGACGACCGTTCTTTGACGCTTCGGTGAGAGGTGTCGGCGGTACGGAGTCTAACATCACGGCTGCACCTGTGGTGATAACACAATCGGACTGAATGGGTTTTAACTTGAACACTGTGAACCCGGTCCATGGATCTCCAAGTGAGCGATTAGGTCTGCTACCAAACCAACCATCGTGAATGTTGTCTGCTTTGCCCCCCTGAAACACGGCACGAGTGGTGCGAGCTGCAGTAAATCTTTCTGGGGAAACGGGGCAATCCTCGACCTCCTTTGGGGTAAAAAGATTCTGCCTTGGCATGATATGGTATCGAACCAAACAGTTGGCATTTTCTTTGAACACCCAAAAATCTTCACCTTGCGATGTAGCGGCTGTCGCTGGCGCGGAATCGAAAAATGAGGCGCCGGGTCTTGAGGGAGCGGGCTCCCCAGCTTCGGCTGCATCAAATTCATGCGCAACGTCTTCTGCACTAACTGCGATTTTAGGATCCTCCTCATGCTCGGATGCGTGGATTGCTCTGGCTAGCTCCTCATCCCCTTCAGTATGAACAATGGGAATGGGTTCCTTAGATTCAATTTTGGCAGCGCCTTTTGCAGCTGCTTCAGCTCGATCTGCAGAAACAAGTTCGGAGAACCTCTTCTTGCATTCGGCGCTGTGAATCTTGGAATGACCGGTGCATGCACGGCAACCTGGCGTTTCCTTGAACTTGATGATCC